CCGAAGATATAAAATACATGGAAAGTTTTGAGCGCCTTGAGCGACCTCTAAATTTTTTTTTTTTTGATTTCAAGAGCAAAAAATAGGGTTATATTTTTTTCGGTATAGAACAATTCTAGGGGGTGAGAGCATTAAAATTCTGACTTTACTTGTTTTGGACCACCCTAGCGTACACACTTGTAAAACGCACATGCATAGATACCGACTATGTTGAACGTCTAAATATATTCAAAGCATTATCAGTATGCATAGCAATTACATATTTTGCGCGTGCAATCGTCTAGCTGTCGTCTGACAGTGATGACCAGCTGTGGCATCACCACCATAAACAAACCACTATCACCACACACACATCCACCTCCAGCAGTCAACTTAATTAAACAGCCACTGGCTGCATGTTGCTCTCATACGCCATGTGTGGTCATTATAGAGTCATTTGATTTCATATTCTGACGCTACTGGACTGTACCTACTACTACTACCACCAGCCTACGTATGCATGTTTAATATTATGGAAAATGAACACCAGCAGCGGTGCATTTGTGCCGTGCATATTTTTCCATGTAAAAGACATTTCTAATTATTGATACAGCAGCGTATATATCGAAGAATATGGATGCGTACATGAGTAAATATTAATATCAGTATACACATTTTTCTGGCTGCAAGCTCTTCAAATACAAAATAATTTGGTCAAAATGAGCCATTCATGTCTGCTATTCACATATTTTTGTATACATATACATATGTATGCGTGAACATTCCACTTCGTTCACATATGTAATTGTAATTTACGGAATTGAAATTATTATCCAGAGCCATCTACGCGGCTAGCTGCTAATTTAACTTAATATTGAACGATTTAATCTGTGCAAACGCAACTATTCATATGGTTATACGTGGATGATAGACGCAGGTGTCAGCTAAGGCATATAAGTAAATTAAGTTCAAAATATGAGAATTGCTTACATTTTACTTTTTCTCTATCAAGTGAGATTATGCATAGTTAAAGGGTTTATACAAAATTTTTTGACTTTAGCGATTTACTTTAGAACGAATTTGGTTTCCGGTAGAATAAATTATATATTAGAAGTTAAGTAGTGATGATAACGATAACTATAAGGTTAAGCAAGTTAGTCTATCTTGGCTGCCCTCATCCGGCACAAGAAAAGAAAGCACTTAGGCCACCATGGCGCCTGGTTGAAGCCATATTAGATACTTATTTCGTCCCTCCTCAGTAATGTTCTAAGCTTTCGATTTACCATCAGACTCTGCACGGTGAGAATTCCAATTACATGCTGGTGCCGGGAGGTGAAATGAGGGCCGGGAGATCTGCGCTTATCCAAATTCGGCCAGATGTGTGTTGCTCTGCAGACCATATTAAATTTGTTATCTCGATAAAACTAATTTCCATCCAGAGTTCGCAAGAAGAGGTGCAGATCGCAGACAATGAGGTGCCTTTCCTCGTCAATTCATCTGCAATTTAGTTTCCCATCTACATTGTATAACTATCTTCGAAGTAGATTTATGACAATTTTGTGTTTTATTTACTGCCTGGTTATTCGATAAGATATCTGTCACCCCTTCGGTATGAAAAGAATCTGAGACAAGGTTTATAGACTAAGATAAGGAGCGGACATAAAACTTCGGATGCTGAATGAATTTTGACAGGGAAAATAACGCTGATACCAACTCGCATCCATTTGGCAAAAAACGATTATGTGTCAATTATTTTCATTTGTGCTAAGGCCTTTTCTGTTACAAAAAAAAAACTGATGAACAAAAGCGACTGGTAAATAAAGAAGGAATGAACATGCAAAAAAAAAATTGTTATTAATAATTAGCAGGAAAGAGTGTTACTCATACGCCATGTACACCTGGGTAACACGCTCTTCTGCTCATATTTCATAATAAAAAAATCTTTACGCATTTTCATTTGACTTTCATTCCTTTCTTATTTATCAATCGATTCTCCTCATTTGCTTGATTTTTTTGTAGAGGAAAAAATTAACAAAGAAATCGTATTTTTTTTTTTATTTTTCCGGAAATCGAGAATTATTTGTTAATTTCTCAGAAACTATCAGACCTATCGCAAAGTAGTGCATATACGGATTACGAGGAATTTTGTTGGCCTTCATTTTCCGTATTCTATATTAAAATTTTTAAATGTTCGTAACATATACGTCATTTAGGGGAACCACTTTTTTAAAGCTGAATAACGATAAATTGGAAATATCTCGGTAACTTATCCATAGAAAAAAAATAACTAGATTTTCGGAATCATCCGGCAATTCCAAATAGGAATTGGGTAGTGACATCCAATAAACAAAAAATAAAAAAAAAATTGATCCAATTTTACAGTGTACGAGAATACCCAATATTATATTTTCATTACTAATGTGCATTTTCTTTTTTTTTAATTTATAAATTCGCAATGCTTTTAATTAAAATCAAATATAACCAAATTACCAGGAGAATATAAAATTATATTCGACATGAGAAAACAAAAATTATCATACATTTCATGTGTGTACTTACTAAATAGTAATTATTTAGATAGAATTTGAATTTTCCATGTTTATATTTTTTCTTCGAATTCAATAATTTATTTTCATCATCTGCCATATTTTACGTACATACATATTAATTGCTTGACTAACAAAGTTATACTCGTAATATTAAAGCAGTGCAAACTTAACAAAGTTAAATGACTACCAGTGAATTATTCGTAGAATTCAATTAGAAATTTTACAAATACATAAATGTTCACACAAATACATAAATATTTTTGTATGTTATATTTACACAAATTGCTATGTGTATGTGGTTAGAAAAATTGCTTGCAGCGTGTGAATTTAATGTGTCCGAAATCTGACAATTTATATTCAAAATTATTTAGGAATGTCAAGCTTGGCTACTATTAAACTACATTGAATAAATGGGTTTTAGGCTAAAGATCTTAAAAATATTTTTTTTCTAGTAAGTAAAAGATTAAAGTCGACATATCTCCGACAATACAAGTATTTATTCTAAAAGTTGGTAAATTGCTTAAAAATAAGGTTGGTATTTCAAAATGGACATCCAGATGTATATTTTTTATGAAATTTGTGTTTTTAATTCTGAAAAGAGAAAAGTGCCACGCAAGCTCGTGGAAAATTGTGAAGTGTATACCATGATGTCTGTCTGTTTTTACCCGCATCACTCGAAAACTAACCCATGAAATTGAATGCAGTTTCCACCAATCTATTGCTAGGGGTCTAACTTAAAATATAGAAAGAAAAAAATTAGAGAGTTGCCGCAATATGGCTGCAAAAAGAAAGAGGTTTAAGAAATCTCACAGCCAAAAATATTTTTGCGAAGGTTGCCACATGTTTAACAATTTGAATTTAATTTAATTGATAAGATAAATAAAATATTGCGATACAGGTGTCACACTGAAGAGGTTTAGGAAAGTTTACTGCCGAAAATATTTTTGACGAAGGTTACCACCTGTTTGAAAAATTGTATTTAACAAAATTGATGAAATAAATGAAATATTACAAAAAGGGTATCAAACAACATAAAAATACTTTTAAGGAGCAGTGAAGCATGCCTGGTATTGACTATCTAATAATTTAAAAAGTGTATGAAAAAATCTTAGATGTGGTTACTAATTTGATGAGGAACGACATAATTTTTACCCTTACCAATATAAAATTGAGATCTGTATAGTCTTTTTTGTTCTTTTTGATTTCTACATACACTATCATTTAGAAAAATTATTTTTGAGGAAAAATAGATACTCGAAAGTTTCACGTTGGTAGGTAAATAGCATCGTCCTTATGACAACTTTTTTTTTAGTCTGGAGATGTGTACTAATAAATAGTATAAAGTTATCTTCAGAAAGATTTTATATACATTATTTGGTTAAGTTTTTTGCACAGCGGGCCAAGAAGTTTTCCCAAACCGAATTGTAGCACTCTATGGCATTGTTCAGCTGCTTTTTGGTCAAAAGGAACTAGCGCTTGGGTAGATGAGGTTACGGTGGTTCCAGCGGCTGCACTCATCCATATTACTGAGGGAGATACACTTAGGCCTAAGAGGACCCGTTGGTTCAATGTTTATTGCGTTTAACTAGAAAAAAGAAACAGTCACTTAGTCTGTCTAATGAATCGTTGTAAATAGTTTCATCGAGCTTAAATCCGATGGCCAGTCAAAACAGTACAGATAGGCGACATCGTTGCGAGTACTGGCAAAGAAAGTATTCGATGCTAACTTTGAATAAGCAAGAAATAATGTCCTCTAGGATATACCAAAAATCTATGTCGAAACTCAAAAGATAAAAAGTCTATATCAAATTTTTTTTACAAAACATATATATGCAGTGGGCCCTTGTGAGGTAGTGGTTAGCAGTGCGCGCTACCACTTCGCAGGTAATGAGTGCAAGCCGAGTTACAACCAACATCAAAAAATTAAAAATAAAAATTTATAATTGCGGTCGCCCCGCGGCAAGCAATGGCAAACTTCCGAGTGTATTCTGCGATGAAAAAAATTTTTTTTTGCCATTCAAAAGATCAAAAATATATACATATATGTCCAATTTTTAATCTACCAAAAATGTCTTTTCAGTCTGCCATTCAAGCGTCCATACGCATTCTTTATAATTTTAATTTATTGTTTAAAAACTTTAAAGTAAACTCGTATTTCAAGTATTTCCCTGAATCAGCTTAATTACCTTCATTCATTGCCTCTTAAAAGTTTCTTTTAAAAACATAAGCAATAAAACACAAGCAACTTAATCGATAAGACCCCATTTTCCACTCTCAAAGCGAACTCTATCGCACAAAATGCTTAAGGCTGCCAATGGCATCATAAAATTTAACAGCGTCATACCAATAAGCTGCCTTTCTGCGCCATTCTCAACACGAATAAACTCTTAATTACACATAATTTATTTACTCAACTCACTACATTCTTTTAATTTCTCCATTCTTTCTCTTATTCTTCTTCTTCTTCACCAGGTGACATCATGGACATACTGGCGCTACTCAATTCCAGCATCAATTTTATACTCTACTGCTCGATGAGCCGCCAATTCCGCACAACATTCACCAAACTCTTCCGACCCAAGTTCCTGGACAAGTGGCTGCCTGTGGCGCAAGACGATGACGGCGGTGGCGGCGGCGGCGGCGGCATTGGCACAAACGGCCGGCTGCGCGGCGAGCTGGCCAGCAAATCGCATGCCATTGAACAGCAGTGTCTGACAACGCAGGTGACGAATGTGTAGCATACGAGAAGTCAGCTTCGTTGTTGTCGAGCGATGCCATCATATGGCGATGAGGAGACGAGTGTCGCAGCAGGTGCGGCAGATGGTGGCTTCTGCGGCTGGGGTGGCATGCTGGTAGGCAATGGGGCAAGTAAGAATGGCACACGTTGGGCGAATGGCCATAGCAGCGCGGGACGAGAAGGTAAGCAAGTTGTTGAGGCTGCTGGTGGAGGTGC